CGGACTGGCCTCACGTGATCTCGTACTGTCTGACGTCTGGGTGACGTGTTCGGCCCCCTAACACGATCCGAGTCCCCTTCCCCTCTTCTTATTGCATGAAACTCGGAGCCCTTGTCCGCGGATCAGGGGGTGTGGTGGCACGCCTAGGAACAGGTTCACTTTTTTTCACTTACCCGCGCCCCCTATACTGCCTCCGGTCGTCTTGATTCTGTCACAAAACCGGGGCCAGGCGGGTGAGAAGGTGATTGTGCGGTAGATGCGGCACAAGTCTACTATCAATTTAAATTAATTCACCATCCCTGCGCCCACTCTGCCGTGGAAATTGTTGGAATGGATGGTTGAACTGACATCATCATTATTCTGTCAGATAAGGTTGGAACCACTCAGACAAGCAGTTGTCTGGCTCAACCGAGATTGGCTAGCTGCAAAAGAAGGTTAGATTCGAGGGGTTTTTCTACCTCTCTCACAGATTCTCTCCCACATTTCTATGTGTGTCTTCGTGGTCATTATTCGTTCAAATTCAAATTCACTGGTAGTAGCGTTTATACTTATCGGAAAACCGGGATGAGATGTTTAAAATATCACTTAACGCAGCCGAGAATGGAAGGTTCTATTCTACAAAACCGTGCAGATAAATGTACCAAGTGCATGTCAGGATTGAGGGAACCGATTTTCTATTCAAAATTGTAATGTTTATCCAGTAGAATTAACTGCTAAATCTGCCCTAAATGCGCGCTCATTTTCTTTCGTTTTTTAGGTGGAATATGGAGACAAGCTCGCTTCTGACAGATGAAAGCACCGAAAAATTGTTAGTCTTCTTCACCTCCTTTGTATACACTAGAGAAAAATCCAATGCTTTCAGTAAGACGCTGATCAGTTCCTCTATCATGGTACTTCTGCTAAAAGATGGAGTAGTAATTGTGCTTTGATGTCCTGCTAAATGCACTGGAACTACGAGGCAGCAGGCCATTGAATCTTGCCCCTTGCTTATAGTGCTGCCCATGTTCTAGGATCTGTGATGAAGGTCGCACCTCAGCTGAAGTGAGAGCCGAGCATTTTATGAGATAATAGTTCTTTCATGCTGTTATTCCGAGGTTTACGGTTAGAAGCTGGCTTCCGGGGAGCAGTAGTTAATACTTGTTAATTAAGTTGCAGCATAGAACGCCTTCCGGAAGAGGTTATCCTCTCCACGTGTGTTTTATCATTTAAGAGCAAACTGCAGCACCAAACCTCTCATTCCCCAACCACCTGCCAACCAAGGGACAAATGTTCACGGACATTACATTGCATTGTACTACTTGCTTATCACTAGTAGTCATGTTTTATTAACGTTTAGACTATCCCACAACTGTGGTGTTTTCAACCCCAAGAATAAAATTAACGTTCTTTTTCCCCATTTTACTTTGCATCCACATATTTCCTATCAGTTTATTACCCAGTAAGAAGTTAAAACGCGTTAGGCCATCTTTTCCCCTGTAAACTGATACTAATAGCTAACACTTTACGACCAAAATTCCAAATTGTGATAAAGGATTTTAAGAGCCTGCAAACAGTTGATGCCTGCTTAAGTCTTTGCGTGTGTTCTTTCATTAAGAGCTGATCTATAGATAGGCCATGCTCACGAAGTGGTATTTGTGTACTTGAATGCCTACATGAAAAAAGTTGGTTTTCCGTGTTATGATCCCGTTAACTGTCAATTGAACTATTTTCTAATGGTGGATAATCTGGTAACTTACTGCAGCCACTTCAAACCCGACTGCACGAGCAGTACGCAGTTTCAAAACAACTAACAGTCATTGTGCAAACGAAAAATCTTCTAAGAACGTGCTTGGGAAGCATCTCCCTTCCTCATTTATTCCGTAGAAGACTTTTATACCTTGGGAACTTGTTCCTGTTAGTTTGGGCAAAGCCGAACCGAAGTATACGATTAGATCCTAAGATAAAAACGATGAAATTAGCAAAGTAGTGCACGTCTTGATTGTTTAAACGCGCCTTAACGTTCATTTGTATATTAGAAGTATGGCTGAGTCCAGCTGACCAAAACAAGAACGGGTTAACTGACCTCAGCTCTTCGCATCATCATTCATCTTATTTCATGTAAGACAAAGACGAATACTATTTTCAGAGTCACACCTTTTAACTAACCATGAAGCCACTCCGCTTAAAACAGTTTGTAAGGTTTTCCAGTGTTTGACGCGTCCCGTCTCTTAGTTCATATGACATTTCAGAAAATGTGTCCTATCTAGTAAGTATGGTCGATAGAGCTGGAGGTTTTTGGATGCCTTCCTGTTCAAGCGAAGATTTCGCAAAATCTCCAGGTTGTAACTTGAGACCAGCAGTACTTTTATTAACTGCAGTCTGAAGAAACAGAATTCAGAATTTTCTTCTGTTAGTAGTTTTTATTGCAAAGGACAAAAACGTGAAAAAGCACGAAGCATCCAACAAGCGAAAGGAAAACCATAAATGCACGTTTTTAAACTCCATGTGACTAGAGGAATTACGACTGTGTCACAATATTGTTATATCGTAGGGACAATTTGGAGATTCCGCCTGTAATATGGCAGCATTTCAAATCGACTGATAAATTGACCATCATGTGTTTGGCATCTATGCCCGAACTGGCAATTTCAACCTCCCTTGTTTTTGCGTTATGTTCTCCTGAAGATGCAACTGCAGCAGGGGGACCATAAAATATTTCGGCCCATTTTGTATGTTCTACGAAACCTACTATATTGAGGAACCTTAACATCGGTTGCATATCGAGTATATAACCAACTCTGTCCGGGAATTGTATAATACAATCCGGGGTTTCTTTACTCAAGTTTTGCACATGTCTAGAACGGAACATTGCAACTTGGAAAAGGCTTCTCAAACCTCATAACATATTACCTTTCTCGTGTAGAAAACATTCGAGAAATTGTACCAGAAACATGAAAGGTGACAAATGAATCCTTGACGACTGATCATCTAGTTTTGGATAATATGGTGTTTTTCCGATATGCTTAGTTGGTGGCCATTTATCCCTTTAAATTTTACGAAAATAGACAATTTGCGGTAATGATTACTGCATTAGTATACAAGACTTATATATGTGCAGTTTAAGGAACGCAGATATCACCTTTTCCTTTGTTAACGCTACATATTTTCACTGTTTAAGTACCGCCATCAATACATCCGATAATGGACACGTTATTTAAAAAAATCACATTGAATAAATGTTCTGCGTCTTCACGTAACACAGGGTGGCCTCCGCTACAAAGATCATTAGTTCATCCATCTCCGACCGTTCAAGACTGTTATGCGAAAAGCTAGATTGCAGATTAGATTTTTTTTCAGTGAACACTCTTTGTGAAAGCAGATTCTAAAAATAACCAGTTAACATTAGTTTTTGCTTACAGGTAAGCGTGCCTATTTTCTTATGTTCTCATCTTATCAGCAACGGATATCAAAATTCGGCTAACATTAAATTTTCGTCCAAATTCCTTTATTTCTTTAGGCAGAAACTGGGGAAGGATATCGCTCTGCAGGCGGTGGCCATGGTGGCAGATACCCCAACGGTGTAAGTTTTCATTGACCACATAACCGTATAAAGTTGCTGGGAAAGTGTCTGTATACTAACCACGATTTCTTATGGTAAGAGAACACTTCGTTAGAGGAAAAGCAAGAAAAAGAAGCGATCAATTGAACATGGTGTTTATTTGCCTGATATTTTGAGATCTCTCTGGCTGCTAACAAAACGTATGTACTGCAAAAAGTAACTATTTAAACAGTATGCGTTTTTACTATTGATTTTGGCTGCCTTTATAAATTCAAATATATTCTATGGAAAAAAAGCACGAAAAAATTATTTCTTTTGCTCGTTTGGTAGCAAATTACGTCTTCTTTAACTTTTATACTTAAAGAAAGGGTATCCTTCGGTTTTAGAAAAATGTCTAATTATGAGCTTTTTTACGATTGTAAGGTGTTCATTCATAAAATATTATATCCATCAATTTATTAATGCTGCTTATGCTGTATAAAGCATGCTCCACACCTACTGTAACATTTCATGACGACTATGTGACTTCTTCCTAAAATTGAAGGCGAAAACGTACTTTTCCTTAAACAGGATGTAGGCAGTACACAGTTTGTAAACCTTGAATTCGAGTGTAGCAGTCAGTAGGTTTCCAAATTATTCGACAACTTAGAAACTTTTTAAAACCGAAAGATTCCCTTTCTCTAAGTATAAAATTTAGAGACGGCGTAATTTGCTGCCAAACGAATATGAGAAATAAGTTTTTCGCTGAAGTCTTCCATAAAATATATTAGAATTTATAAAGGCAGTCAAAATCGATGATGAAAACGCATAGTATTTAAGTAGCCAGTTTTACAATATATACGTTTTGCTAGTGGTCAGAACGAAACTCGTCAAAAAACCCGCATCCTATTATAACTGAAATGACTTCAGAATAGCCTACAAGATAATCAATATCACAACCTGAGTCAATGCCGAGTAGCAAAC